CAACGTGCATAAATGTGTACATGGGGAAAAGGAAAGTCTTCCCACACCAAGCACTTCATGGACACAAGCATGGAGTCCTACAATTTGGCTCAGTTCAGCCACTACTATCTGGAAACTATGTCCGAGTCCACAGTTTAAGGGTTCATTCTACAGGATGCCTCTGCCCCCCACTTCAGAGGCCAGTAGTAAGCCCAGGCTGCTCGCTGTGCCTCTGACTGGCTACAGATTGGAGTTTCTCGAGACCCCCTCCCTCCCTGAGAGCAGTAGGTGATGGACAGCTCACTGACCCAGGACTAGAGTCCAGAATGACCCAGGATCTGAGAGGGTGACAAGGAGGACAAGGGGACATGTCTGTCTCCGAGTCACCCCCAGGCCCCAGTATGGTTCTGAAGGACAGTCAGCGGATAAGGGGGTATAGTTTTAGGTTGGGGCAGTGGCTGGATCGCAGAGTAACTCCTTCCCCAGGAGCCTTGGGGTTCCAGATTCCGCCACAAAAACAGGCTCTAGATCAGTGGTTCTCAAGCTTTCTAATGCCGCGACCCTTTAATACAGTTCCTCATGTTGTCGTGACCCCCAACCATAAAATTATTTTCATTGCTACTTCGTAACTGTGATTTTGCTGCTGTCACATTACGACATGAGGTCAGCATAACAGGAGGAACCGTATTAAAAGGTTGCGGCATTAAAGATTCTCAATCCTGCCGGGACCGGTTTGGCTCAGTGGATAGAGGGTCGGCCTGCGGATTGAAAGGTCCCAGGTTCGATTCAGAGCAAGGGCATGTACCTGGTTGCGGGCACATCCCCAGTAGAGGGCGTGCAAGAGGCAGCTGATCAACGATTCTCTCTCATCGATGTTTCTAACTCTCTATCCCTCTCTGTGAATAAATCAATAAAATACATTTAAAAAAAATTCTCAATCCTGCCCAAACCGGTTTGGCTCAGTGGATAGAGCGTCGGCCTGAGGACTGAAAGGTCCCAGGTTTGATTCTGGTCAAGGGCATGTATCGGGTCTAGTAATAATTAATGTCGTTTTTAAACATTCGTATAAAATCTTGCTTGGCGTTGACTTGTATTGACATAACCTTCAAACACGTGGTATCTACAGAACGTGTGAAGTGCAATTAACAAGTTTTGCTTGAAAAAGTTTGTGTTTGGTTTGGTTTTTGTTGCAAAACTAGGGCTAAGAAGATGGCGGATAAAGAGCATATTCGGCACTGCATGCTTTACGAGTTCCAATTAGGAAGAAAAGCAAGTGAGGTTGCAAAAAACATCTGTAGTGCTCTTGGTCAAGATGCAGTTAGCGCCAGAAAATGCCAGCGTTGGTTTGAGAAATTTCGTGAGAGAAATTTTTTGTTAGATGACAAGAGTGGTCGAGGCCGTGTGTCCAATTTTGATCAAGAAGCTCTTCAAGCTCTTTTGGTGCAAAATCCTCAAATTACCCAACAAGAGCTTGCGACAACTTTAAATTGTTCACAAAAAACAATTTCCAATCAATTGCGTGCACTTGGCAAAGTCCAAAAGTTTGGAAAATGGGTTCCTCATGAGTTGACCGACAACAACCGTAATCAAAGAGTCACAATTTGCAGTTCGCTCCTCTCTCGTCAAAACACTTTGCCGTTTTTAGAGCAAATTGTTACCGGAGATGAAAAATGGGTGCTGTATGTTAATTTGAAAAGGTGGCCTCAATGGTTGGACAAAAATGAGGCTCTGCAGCCCACGCCAAAACCTGACTTGCATGTGAAAAAAGTGATGTTGTGTGTTTGGTGGAATTTTAAAGGAATTCTTCATTATGAACTTTTACCATTTAACCAAACCATTACAAGTGCAGTGTATAGTGCCCAATTGGAAAGGTTAGCCCAAGCTTTAAGAGAAAAAGAACCCGCGCTGATTAATCGGAAGGGCGTAATTCTTCACCACAATAACGCACGACCGCATACTGCAAGAATCACTGCTGAAAAACTGCGCCAGTTGGAATGGGAAGTTCTCCCTCAACCTGCATATTCTCCTGATATTGCCCCTTCGATTACCATTTGTTTTGTTCTTTGCAAAACTTTCTTCTTGGAAAAAAATTTAATAATGAAGAATGCCTCAAAAATGCATTGACGGAATTTTTTGCATCAAAATCACAAGAATTTTACAACAGAGGGATTAAAATGCTTCCTGAGCATTGGGAACAAGTAGTAGAAAACAATGGCAACTATATTGTTGATTAAATTTTGTTGTATTGTTCAAATAAACTCGATTTAAAAAAGGTATTAGAAAACGACATTAATTATTACTAGACCTAATACCTTGGTTGTGGGCACATCCCCAGTGGGGGGGGGGGGGGGGTGCAGGAGGCAGCTGGTCGATGTTTCTCTTTCATCGACGTTTCTAACTCTCTATCCCTCTCAATTCTTCTCTGTGTAAAATCAATAAAATATATTAAAAAAAAAAAGATTCTCAATCCACTGCTCTAGATAAAAAAGCTGAAAGGTGACCTAGCTGCTTTAGCCCAGTGGATAGAGTGTCAGCCTGTGAACTAAAGGGTTGTGGGCTTGATTCCCAGTAGCAGGTGTGCAGGAGGCAGCTGATCAATGATTCTCCTTGTTGTTTCTATATCTCTCCCCTTCTCCCTTCCTTTCTGAAATCGATAAAAAAAAATATATATATATTAAAAAAAGCTGAAGAGTGGGGTTGGCTATATCTGGTCCTACCTTGCCCTGGGGGGAAGGGGTTTAATGGAATAAATGGATTATCTATAGAATTAATAGATAATAAACCACAAGGCTGATAGTTTTACTGCTGGTGGCTAGTAAACAATGAGAATTAGGAAGTTTAAATGGAGATCCCAAAATCTCAGAACCGGAGCCAAGGCTGGAATTCAAACGCAGCCCTGACTCCTGACTTCCCCTCTTACGCAGATGAAGTTGGAAAAGTTTCCTGACCACACTCCATGGTCACGTGGAGATAAGTTCCGACTGATCCCTAAGGTTCCCCTACAGCACAACCCTGGAAGAAGGAAGGCATGGCCGTGTGTGTGTGTGTGTGTGTGTGTGTGTGTGTGTGAGAGGAGGGCAGCAAAGGCTTCCTGGAAGAGGTGACACAAGCTGAGTGAGAGTGTCAGAGGAACACTATGTACAGTATGTGATTGTCTAACTACTATGCTGTACACCCAAAATAATACAAAACAATATCAAATGTATAATACACACATATATACAATGTATATACACTTGAATATATACTTTTTGTTGTTAATTTTCACCCATGTAAATTTTCCATGGATTTTTCTTTTTTTGAGAGAGTAGAAGGGAGGAAGGGGAAGAGAGAGAGAGAAAAACACCCATGTGAGAGAGATGAGATGAGGGCAGGGGATTGAACCTGCAACCTGGATATGTGCTCTTGATCAGGAATCAAACCTGAGACCCTTTGGTGTATAGGCTGACACTTCAACCACTTAGCCACACAGGCCCGGGCATATTTTTCATAAAAATGGCAAAAAATTTTACAACAACAAAAAAATAAGTACAATACAAAAAAAAAAAAAAAGTGGAGTTAGTAGATGGGAGAAATGGAGGAGCAGCAGTCTGTCCCAGGTGCCCGCTTGAAGGGAGTGCGTATCTGCAGAGAGCTTAAACATAATATCCAAGTAAAAGTTGATCTGCTTTTTATTACTCTGGGCCAGGAATTTTAAATAATGTCTGTGATAAGCACTCCCCTCTAAAACAATCTTTCGTTAGTGTAAATTCTAAACAATTGCTCTGCTTCCCGTTTTCCCATATCATCAGGTGGTGCAGTCACCACTCAGTTGCTCAAGCCAAAAACCGAAGAATCGTCTTTGACTCCTCTTTCTTCCTAGCCCTTTGCCACTCTAATCCAAGACCAAGTCTGCCTCCTTTAATTCTAAGATATCCTCTAATCACGCACATCAGCGCCCGCTAAGCAATGGCGTCTTTTCCCGAAGGGCTTGTTCTCAGCTCTCATTTCTCTATGTTTTCTCTGTAGCACTCGCCGCCACCTAAAATTATCTTATTGGCTTTATTCTAGCCATGTCCAGGATGACAATTCCTTGAGAGCAAGAACGTTTGTTCTGTCTTGTTTGCCACCGTGTCCTTGGTTCCAAACAAAAACAAAAACAAACACAAACACAAACACAAACACAAACACAAACACAAACACAAACACAAACACAAACAAACAAACAAAACAGTGCCTGACACCTGACAGGTGCTCCATGCCTATGGTAGACTAAAGACTTTCATTGCAGCACGGAGCTCCCAGCTTTGGGTTTGCGCGCAGGTGGGACAGCAGTACCTGGCGGAGAAGATCGGGGAGCTTATGTCAAGAGCCCTAACCTGATTGGGTGGGGTTGGGTGGGACAGGATGGGGATGGGGCTCCCCTGTCTGCAGAAGCCCTCCAGCGCACGTGCCCCTCTCTCCAGCCTCCTTCCCACACAGAGGTCAGCAGGCCTGGCCGGAGCCTGAGGCCTCAGCGCCTTCATCCCCATCTGAGATGCTCAGCCTGAGGGTGGATGGAGAAGAGATGGATGGAGAAGAGATGGATGGAGAAGGGATGGATGGAGAAGAGATGGATGGAGAAGAGATGGATGGAGAAGGGATGGATGGAGAAGGGATGGATGGAGAAGAGATGGATGGAGAAGGGATGGATGGAGAAGGGATGGATGGATGGAGAAGGGATGGATGGAGAAGGGATGGATGGAGAAGGGATGGATGGACGGAGAAGGGATGGATGGAGAAGGGATGGATGGAGAAGAGATGGATGGAGAAGGGCGTGGGGCGGTGAAGGTCGCGGCGGGAGGGGCGGGGCGGCCGGGCGGGCCCAGGTGGCCTCAGGGTGCCCGGCCCCGCCCCCCGGCGGGGGTAGAAATGGAGCGCGGTGATTGTGTCGTGAGGATTCGCGACACGCGACCTGCGACGCCGAGGCAGCGCGGCTCTGCTCGGCTCGGACGTGCGGGACTCGCACTCAGCCCCGGTGCACGGATCGGATCCCGGCGGAGATGGAGCGCGAGGACCAATGGCTGGCGGCCCCGCGCCCGGCCGCGGAGGTGGGTCGGGCGTGGGCCAGGGCTGGGAGGCGGCGGCGGGGCAGAGGCTGCGGGTGGGGAGGGAGGGAAGGGAGGGAAGGGAGCTGGGGCTTTAGGGTTCGAGGGAGGGTGTGGGGAGGGATGCTTGATCCTGTGTCCTCATGTAGGATGTAAACTGTAATTGAAAAACAGGGCAGTGTTTCTGCAACATGAACCTTGCCGTCTACATCTGTCTACTATCTATCTATCTATCTATCTATCTATCTATCTATCTATCTATCTATCTATCTATCTAATAAAAATCACGTTTATTCAGTGAGTACTCACTGGGCCTTAGCCAGGCGCTGGGGTAGAAGGTTCCAGGTAGCTTCCAGGAGAGGGACTTGCCTACCGAGGAAAGAAGGTGAAGTTAGGAAGTCGGTGGGGTGTATTCAGGGAGCAAAACATACTCACAGAAGCCCTACCAAGTGCCAGGCCTTTCCCAGAATACGGGGATACATGGTGAGCTTTCTGTAGGACATGGTACCACTTTATTGATAAGTCACCAAATGGCTCAAATTTGTTCTGTCTTGTTTGCCACCGTGTCCCTAGTTCCCCCCAAAATTTGTGCCTGGGCCACAGGAGCAAATAGTGGTCAGGTTTGGGACCAGGAGAGAGAGCTGCGGGTTGGGTCTGGGACTGGAGACCTGAGACCAGGCCACATGCCCACGTTGGAGGAAGGGAGAGATGGGCTGTGAGACCGTGGCCCAAGGGAAGGGGAGGCAGGGATCCCGGCACGCCACGGAGGGCGTGCAGGCCTTGAGCTGGTTATTGCAAAATCAGGAGGAACCCGTTGATGAGTTGAACCTCTGTAAGATCTGCATATTTAAAAAGAGTGCCTTGGCAGCTGTAGGCAGAATTCAAGGCGACAGTTAGAAAGCCATTATGATAACCCAAGTGCAATGGAAATGGCGGCCTCACTGGGGAGGAGACAGTGGAGACGGAGGTCCCGGGGAGGCTCTGCAGGTGGACACAACAATTTCTCCCTCGGGTAACTTGGGGGTGGGTAAGGCTAGTCCGGAGTTTTGGACACCGTCCAAAAGGCCTGCGAGTCATCCGAATGGCAAAGCTATAGGCAGCTGGAGGAGTCAGGGGAGGTGTGCCCTGGAGCTACTGTGTAAAGAATAGTTGGAATATAAAGAGAAATGCATCATTAGCATGAGAAAGATGGCCCAGCGGGGAGACAGGTGGAGGGCCAGGCAGAAGGGAAGGGGAAAGCCAGGCCCGGGTGTCCAGTGTTTTCGCCATGCACGTTCCGGAGTTGCATGTTGTGAGGCCCAGGGAAACACGTCAAGAAGGGTGGGCCCTTAATCTCAGCCACTGCTGAGAGGCCAAGCAAAGAGCAGTCCAGGCAGCTTTGGACTCAGTGACTGGAGGTCATCAGTGACTTCAGACAAGTTGGCTCTGCGGAGCGATGGGAATTTTGGGGAATAATAACGGAGGGAGTGGTAAAGGGGAGTTTAGACTCTTCCCAAGAAATCTGCCTGTTGCCGGGCCGGTTTGGCTCAATGGATAGAGCGTCGGCTTGGGGACTGAAGGGTCCCGGGTTCGATTCCGGTCAAGGGCATGTACCTTGGTTGCGGGCATATCCCCAGTAGGGGGTGTGCAGGAGGCAGCTGATCGATGACTCTCTCATCGATGTTTCTAACTCTCTATCTCTCTCCCTTCCTCTCTGTATAAAAATCAATAAAATATATTTAAAAAAAAAAAGAAAAAAGAAATCTGCCTGTGAAGGCTAACAAAAACCAAAGAAAGCTGAAACCAGTTTGGCTCAGTGGCTAGAGCGTCGGCCTGTGGACTGAAAGGTCCGGGTTCGATTCTGGTCAAGGGCATGTACTTGGTTGTGGGCACATCCCCAATCGGGGGTGTGCAGGAGGCAGCTGATCAATGGTTCTCTCTCATCGATGTTTCTGACTCTGTCCCTCTCTCTTCCTCTCTGTAAAAAAATCAATAAAATATATTTAAAAAAACAAAACAAAAACAAAACAAAAAGGGCCGCTACTGAGAGTGAGGGGAAAGGGGATGAACATCTCCCAATGCCACCCAATAGGCCTTTATCTTGGGCCTGTTGTGTATGTGTTTACTTACTCTAGGTGCTGAGCATAGTGTGGAGATTAAAACAGGATCTCCCTAACATCTGAAGGGTTTTTAACTCCATCGTCAAAACATTATTAAATCTATAGAAATGAATGACAATTGCTTAATTACATCTTAGCGCAAGTCTTGTTCAGATTCCCCTGGTTGTCTCTAAAATGTCCTTCAGCTGCCTTGTCCCAACCAGGATTCAATTTAAGACCACATGCGTTGTCTGGTCATTACGTCCTTTGGGTATCTTTGAAGTTAGAATAGTTTTTTTTTTTCTTTCTTTTTTTTCTTTTTTTTTTTTTTCATGATCCTGATTTTTGTCTTACAGAATGTTCCTTTTTCTGGATTTATCAGGTTGCTTTCTCATGATATCATCTAGCTTGATATTCTGTCTTTTGTATTACCTCTAAATTAGAGTTAGGTCTTAAAACTTCACTGGATTCTTGATTTTTTGGTAAGACTGCCTCATGGGTATGGTAAGCTTCATCTCACATTGCATCTGGCTCTCCACACTCGGTGACAGAGGCTTGGCCTTGAACTCTGAGGTAGGGAAAAGCCTGAGCTCTATTCAAGCTTATCTTTCGCCTTGCAGTCAGAACATAATCCGTGTATTGTTACCTTTGATGCACCCTAATATCCCACTTCCCCACCAAGTATTTACCTATTGGTTTCACCAAACACTGATTTTTCCCCAATCAAAAAAGTTTCATTAGGGGTTGTAAAACAATGCTTTTGCAATTCCACCATTCCTCCTACATTTATTAGTTTGTGTCCTTCTGCAAAGTAGGATTTTTCTTAAACAATTAGAATCATTTGGTGATTTCAAAATAACAGTTACCTACCGAATGACAAAATAAATACTTTATTGTTTCACTTCAGTTCACATGTCTGAATCTGGGATAGGAGCTGAACCTTGGTCACTTTTGGCTCATGAATTTTCACCGAGTTCTTTCTTTCTGATTAATCCTTTTTTCATGATCCAGATTTACGTCTTATAGAATGTTCCCTTTTTCTAGATTTATCAGATTACTTTCTCCTGGTGTCATTTAGCTTGATACCATTTTAATTTAGATTGAAATAAACAATCATTATTTTTGATTCTCACACTTTCACAAATTTGGCCAGTGTCTTTTTTTAAAAAAATGTTTTTTTGAAATTGTAAAATCTACGTCATACAAAAATATCATCATAGCCATGTTTAAGTGTCTATAGTTCGGTGGCATTGAGCACATTTGACATTTTATCGGATAACCATCACCACCATCTATCTCTAGAACTTCTTTCTTCTTCCCAAACTGAAACTCCCTAACCATTCAACAGTGACTTCCCAACCCCCTCACCTCCCAGTCTTTGCATCCACATTCCACTTTCTGTCTCTTTGGATTTGCCTGAAGTACTTTGCCTCCTTGACAGTAAATAAAATATTCCACAAGCTACACCTTCAGCAGAACTCTGAGAAAACCCTCAAGCTCTTGGCAGTACTTAAGTCATTTGTAAATGGGATTACACGTTATTTGTCCTTTTGTGACTGGTTTATTTTTAGTTAGCATAATCTCTTCACTGTTCATTCAAGTTAAAGCTGCCACCAGAATTTCCTTCCATTTTAAGGCTGAATAATATTCTATTGTATGGATATATCACATTTGTTTGTCCATTCATCATTTGATGGACACTTGGGTTACTTCCACATTTTGGCTATTGTGAAAAATGCTGCTCTGAGCGCAGGGGTATGAATATCTATTCCCGCTGCTGCTTTCAATCCTAGAGGCCCGGTGCACGAAATTCATGCAAGAGTAGCCGCCCCCCCCCCCCCCCCCCCCCCCCCCCCCCCCCCCCCCGCTGCTGGCACCTGAGACCTGAGCTTCCCTCAAGAGTGGCTTCACTCTAACCACTGAGTCAAACTGGCCAGGGCTGAAGCCTCTGAAACCTTTGTGGTTTTCTGCACCCATCCCTCTGGTTTGGGTTGTTCTTTCATCCTTACACTTACATGTAATCTGGAGCTTGAGGGTTTTCTCAGAGTTCTGTTGAAGGTGTAGCTTGTGGAATATTTTATTGACTGTCAAGGAGGCAAAGTGGCAGTCACTAAGCTTCCATCATACTATCAGCCAGACCTGCATTTAGAAAAGCCCAAGCTGGAGCCCTGGCCAGGTGTTAGTTAGGGTGTCTTCCTGTGCACTAAAAGGTTGAATTTGACCCCGGATCAGGCACAAGGGGGAGGCAATCCATCAATGTTTCTTTCTCACATTGCTGTTCTGTCTGTCACTCCCTTCTCTCTCTAAAGTCAATAAAAAACAAAAACAAATAACATAACATAGGAGAGGACTATCCTATCTAATAAAAGAGTAATATGCAGCCGAAACTGGTTTGGCTCAGTGGTAGAGCGTCGGTCTGCGGACTGAAAGGTCCCAGGTTCGATTCGGGTCAGGGGCATGTACATTGGTTGCGGGCATGTCCCCGGTAGGGGGTGTGCAGGAGGCAGCTGGTCGATGTTTCTCTCTCATCGACATTTCTAGCTCTCTATCTTTCTCTCTTCCTCTCTGTAAAAAAATCAATAAAATATATATATTTTAAAAAAGAGTAATATGCAGATTCCAATACACAAGATGGCTGCCCCATGTGGTTAAAGATCCGCCCCCGCCGGGACCTGTTTGGCTCAGTGGATAGAGCGTCGGCCTGCGGACTGAAAGGTCCCGGGTTCGATTCCGGGCAAGGGCATGTACCTTGGTTGCGGGCACATCCCCAGTGGGGGGTGTGCAAGAGGCGGCTGATCGATGATTCTCTCTCATCGATGTTTCTAACTCTCTATCTCTCTCTTCCTCTCTGTGAAAAATCAATAAAATATATATATTAAAAAAAAAAAAAAGATCCGCCCCCATGTGGACAAAAGATGGCCACAACAAGATGGCCAGTAGGGAAGGGCAGTTGGGAGGCACCAGGCCTGCAAGGGAGGGCAGTTGAAAGTGACCAGGTCTGGCCGGGACCGGTTTGGCTCAATGGATAGAGCGTCGGCTTGGGGACTGAAGGGTCCCAGGTTCGATTCTGGTCAAGGGCATGTACCTTGGTTGCGGGCATATCCCCAGTAGGAGGTGTGCAAGAGGCAGCTGATCTATGACTCTCTCTCATCGATGTTTCTAACTCTCTATCTCTCTCCCTTTCTCTCTGTATAAAATCAATAAAAATATTTAAAAAAAAAAAAATGAAAGGGACCAGGTCTGCAAGGGAGGGCAGTTGGAGGCAATCAACCTGCTCCTTGTAGGAGGCAGCTGGGGGTGACTAGGCTGGCAGAGGAGGGAAGTTGGGGGCAAACAGGCTGGCAGGGGAGCAGTTAGACATCAATCAGGCTGGCATGGGAGTGGTTAGGGGATGATCAGACTGGCAGGCAGAGCGGTTAGAGGCAATCAGGAAGGCAGGTAATTAAACGGGCAGTTGGACATCCCTTGAAGGGTCCCAGATTGGAGAGGGTGCAGGCTGGGCTGAGGGACACCCCCTACCCCCCACCCCCACCAAATTTCATGCACCAGGCCTCTAGTACAAAATAAAAGGAAAGCCCAGGCTGGAGAATGGCCTGGTGGCAGGATAATTCTGAGAGAGATGATGGGTGGTCTAGTGTTGGGAGGAACATGTGGAACTGGAATGGGAGCTAGGATTCACCTCACCTGACTCTCTCTCTCCAAGGATACTGAGAACTCGATGTGTGACTCAGACATGTCTCCACCCGAAAGCAGTGGAGTGCACACCTCTTGGAACCATGACCCCTCAGGCAACCAACACTTCCTTCAGAGTCCACAGCCGGAGAGGATGCCCTTGGGTCCTGCTCCGGAGCCCAGGCAGAGTGCAGATGGAATGGGGCCACAGCTCAATGTGTCGCTGCATGAGCACAGTGTGAACTATTGCCCCCGAGTGACTTTCCCTTCTTCCCAAATTGTTTACTATCAGAGAATGTCTCCCCCTCAACCAGCAATGCCTCATGCTTTCAACGGGTCCCAGATGATGTCCTTTGGAGAGCCCAGTATTCCAGGGATGGCCATGGTCTTTGGTGGAAATCTGAACAGGCCCCCCAATGGACCACCAGTCACAATGCCCCACATTATGACACCAACCATGCAGTATTCTGGCCACCCTCCAGTACCTTCTAATGGAGACTCCCTAACACCTACAATGTCACTGCCTGCCCCTGTGCCTTCTGCTGGGGGCCAGGCTGGGCTTCCCCCTTTGGCTCAGATGTTGCCCCCTAGAGATCCCCACAACGGTTGCATGCCCCCAGATGGTGCCCCGTCATTGCGGAGGTTAGGATCCCAGGGCTCTTTTGTGAGCCAGCCAGCCTCCCAGGAAAACCCCTTCCTCCCCGAGCAACCTATACCTGCGCCACAAGGAGCGGAGCAGAATTTCGGGGCCCCGGAGAGGGCTGACAGGAGCAAGTCCCCGATTTCAAGGCCTTTCCGCTGCAACTATGAGAACTGTGGGAAAGCTTACACCAAGCGCTCTCACCTCCTGAGTCACCTCCGCAAGCATACAGGTGAGTGAGGTGTCAGGCAGGTGGGGTGGGAGGGAGGAGTCCCGGGCTTTGCTGGTTTGTAATGGTTGATGATTAGCCTGTCTTCCTTCACTTTTGGGACCAAGCTATCCTGTCCTCACCGACCTGCCTTCCCACAGTCCAGTGCGACTGTGTCAAGATGATGGGGACTGCTGATGGTGTTGTCTCTTCACTGTTTTTTTTTTTTTTAATATATTTTATTGATTTTTTTATAGAGAGGAAGGGAGAGAGCTAGAGAGCTAGAAAGTTCAATGAGAGAGAAACATCGACCAGCTGCCTCTTGCACACCCCCTACTGGGGATGTGCCCGCAACCAATGTACATGCCCTTGCCCGGAATCGAACCTGGGACCTTTCAGTCTGTAGACCTCTATCCACTGAGCCAAACCGGCTTCGGCTCTTCACTGTTTTTCCTATTCATTCCTCAATCATGGCTGCTCTTCCTCATAGCGTCAGACCCCTTCCTTCTCACCTGCGGGCCTAAACTCCTCTGCTTAATTCCTTCTCTCCCTTGTCCCTTTCCCTCCCCAGGTGAGAGGCCCTATAAATGTGAGTGGGGAGGTTGTTCCTGGTCTTTCAGCCGCTCTGATGAGCTTGGACGACATATGCGGATACACACCAAACACCGGCCACACAAATGTGAGCATTGCGGCCGGCAGTTCATGAGGTCTGACCATCTCAGGCAACACCTCAGGATTCACCAGCGGGCGCCGAAATCCCCCAGTCCACAGGCCGACGACGAAGAGAGAGCTGGTCCTTCTTCTGCTCCTGATCTTTAGGTCAACCTCCTCTTCCTTTCATTTTGGCTTCTCCACGCAGATCCTGCTTGCCTCTGACCAGCTAGTCACTTCAGTAGGTTTAGGCTTATTTGCAGACGGAGAAAGATTACCAAGCAGTGTTCAATGAAGTCCATCGGAGCTGGATCCATCAGGGACTCTTCAAGGACTGTCTTGGATGCCCTCACCTTTTTGGGGGCCACCTACTGTCGACGAGTTTAGCTTCATGGAAAGATGAAGCCCAGAAGAGATAGGGAGCTTTATTACAAAGCTCTTTGTTGTTCCTCAACTTGAAACTCTTCAGTGACTCTCCTTTGCCTGCTATGAAAAATCCAAGATTCTTAACTTGGCCTTCCACAGTTTCCAGAGCCAGGCTGGCTATGTTCAAATCCTGAATATGCCGCTTACTAGTCATGAGACCTTGGCATAGGTCGTCTAAGTACAGGGAAGTAAGTGAGGAAAAAATACTATTGGACTGTTTGAGACACATCTTATGTTTTGACTCAGATTCTATCCAGAACTGGACACCCACATGCCCAGAGTGTACCTCCTCCCACCACTTCCAGACTTGGATGGAATGCCCCACCACAGGGCCTGGGACCTGGCATGGCAGGTAGCCACTGGCAACACAGAAGCCTGGGGGAGTTCACCCTCTTGGGTAACATTTGACGAATGGGAGTTGGGAGAGACCAAAGCAGATAGAGTCCCTCTTCTTTCCTCCCTTCCCCGGATTGCTGCGAGACACTGTCTCTTCAAACAGTACGGCCAATGGGGAGATGTCCCAAGCAGCCCGTGAGCACACCTGCTGTGCTTCGAGGCTTGTAAAGCAGGACCTATCTGCACTCAACTTGCATTGCCTCCCATTCTCCCCGGCCTTGCTTTCCTCCCTCTCTGTGCCTTGGGTTTACGCCATCCAAATAAAATATTAGTACTTCCTTCTTGTTTCAGGCTGTTTTCTAGGTGACTTGGGGGTAGGGGACATGATACTGGGGCAGAGAAGAACAAACCCACTAACTTCGCCTCCTCCTTACAGAGCTCAGGTACCAGATACCTTTTATTAAAAGGCCTGGTCTGGCCAAAACTGGTTTGGCTCAGTGGATAGAGCGTCGTCCTGTGGACTGAAGGTCCCAGGTTCAATTCCGGTTGCAGGCATGTCCCCAGTAAGGGGTGTGCAGGAGGCGGCTGATGGATGATTCTCTCTTATTGATGTTTCTAGCTCTCTATCCTTCTCCCTTCCTCTCTGTCAAAAATCAATAAAAAAATATATTTTAAGCCAAAACTGGTTTGGCTCAATGGATAGAGCGTCGGCTTGGGGACTGAAGGACCCTGGTTCGATTCCGGTCAAGGGCATGTACCTTGGTTGCGGGCATATCCCCAGTGGTGGGTGTGCAAGAGGCAGCTGATCGATGACTCTCTCTCATCTAACTCTCTATCTCTCTCCCTTCCTCTCTGTACAAAATCAATAAAATATAATATATATAAATATATATATAAAATTTAGAAAATAAAATAAAAGGCCTGGTCTGCTCCTCCCCTTGGGTTGAAAGTATAGTGCAATCCTGATAACCAGGAAGATTAAACATCATTTCCGGACTTCTCAGCCAGCCATTTTTCTGGCCAGCAAACCAATTAGGAATTTACAAAGGTCCCAAGTGGCAGGTCCAACCAGGATCCGTCTACTCCAGAGGCACACCTCCTAACTAGGATGCCTTCTACGGATGTTGCCTGTGCTTAGTCTGATGCCAAGCACTGCTAGGTGATGCCACAGTGAGATGGCTCAGGACTGGTTCCTTTGGTCTAGGGGCTGAGGGGGCCACCTAGGTGCAGTGACCATGGAGAGGCGGGGCACCTGAAGGGGAAGGTCAGGCATATGTGCCCTGACAAGGGATTGGTGAACCCACCAGCTTGGGGATGTGTCCTGACTGGGAATCAAACCGGCAGCTTTTCAGGGCACAGGACCGTGCTCAGCCAACAGCCTCACTGGCCCAGTAAGTATTCCTGAGTCTGCAATTCAGAGCTGTGGGGACTCCTGGTGGATGGCATGGAAACAAGAGCGTGTCAGGGAAGAAAACTCGAGGTGGTGTCGGAGTCAGACCTGAAGAGCCCCTGGGGCTTAGCCACACTTTCCATGTCCTTGATGTCTACCCTCGTCATGCTCAGTGGCAGATGCTAAGAACTCAGAACATGATGGTGCCTGCTGTAGGGCAGGAAGATAACGGGCAAGGCCAAGAGCTGAATCTCTGTGGGCTCCAACTTATTCTGGGCTCTGGGCAGCTGGGGAAGTCCCAGAGCCTTAGCTAAGCCTCCCCTCTCCCCCGCCCTAACACTGTTCGGCATGGCCCCAGTGAGCCCGGGCCAGGCCTCCGAGTGTCCTCTCCCCAAATTCCAAGTGGAGATATATATATATATATATATATATATATATATTTAAAGGAGGGACAAGAGGGTGCTCATTTGTGACCCAGTGCTGGCCACAGGACTTGGGTTTCCAGTAACTTTTATTCCCACCTGGGCACTAGATCCTTTCCACAGTGAGGGGGTGATCGGAAGAGGAGAAATCAATCTCCTTTAACCAGTGTTTATTATGCCAGGTTGGGCTAAGCCTTTCCCAGGGTTATCTTGTTTGTCACAGGGTGGGAAAGATGAACAGATTCTGACTTCCGCCATTTCCTGGCTGTGTGGTCTTCGGTAATTATCTCTGTTGTTTCTAGTAGCAAGTGGGCAAGATTGGAGTCAAACTAAGATGATAATCACATGTAAAAAATGGTTTCTTTGGGAGAGTGAGGGCAAGTGCAGGGAAGCCGGGGAGGCCAAGGGGATGTTAGTAGGAAGCGGGGGGGGGGGGGGGGGGGGGGGGGGGGGATGGGAAGAGACGTATGTACCACTATTGTAATACCTTAAACAATGTTATTAAACTATTATTTTTGTAGGACAAAAATAAATAAATAAACCCCTTAAAAAAATGGTTTCTTTGCCTTAAGGGAAAGGAAGGGTTTCAGTGCCCCAGGTCACAGTTAAAGGAGGTCTGGATCAGGATGTGAAAGGGGAAGATTAGAAAGATTTAGGAGTGATTATGGGATTTGGTTGAGGGCATGGTCAAGGATGACTCCCAGGTTTTTGGCTTGTGTTATAGGTAGCACAGAAAAATGGACAAACTTTAATTCATTCCTATTTTTATGATGTTATACATGCAAAAAGTATTGTTTTGTATGTATGCAATTTAAAGAATAATAAAGTGTATCTACCCTATTATGTCACTTGAGAAAAAGTAGATACTAAATCATTCGTTTGAAGCCTTTGAACATCCCCTCTCTAATCACCCTCCCCCGCCCCATCTTCCATAGAGATAACCTCTATCCTGAATTTTGCCTTTGCTTTTTTTTTTTTTTTTTTTTTTTTAATAATTCTTTATTGTTGAAAGTATTACATATGTTTGCCTTTGCTTTTATCATATATGCATCTAATCTTGATAGAGTGATTGGTTTAATGTAGCTTGAACTCTATGTTTATTCTATTTGGAGTTCATTGATCTTCAATCCAAAGGCTTAGAGTCTTAATAAAATTTGTACAATGTTTGGCCTTTGTTTTGTCAGTTTTTTTTTGTCCCTCTCTTTCTCCTGACCTATAGTCTGTTCATAGAATAGTCTTGCTTGATGTTGTTCCACAGATTACTGATGCTCTATTCAGCTTGTCAGTCTTTTTGTTTTTGTTTCATTGTAGCTATCTTTAAGCTAACTAATCTTTTGTTTTTCTTTTTTTTTAAAATATACTTTATTGATTTTTTATAGAGAGGAAGGGAGAGGGATAGAAAGTTAGAAACATCGATGACAGAGTAACATCGATCAGCTGCCTCCTGCACACCCTCCATTGGGGATGTGCCCACAACCCAGGTACATGCCCTTGACCGGAATCGAACCAGGGACCCTTGAGTCTTCAGGCCAATGCTCTATCCATTGAGCCAAACCTGTCTCGGCTAAGCTAACTAATCTTTTCTTCTGCCGTGTCTTATCAGTTCTAAAACGTGTGTTTTTCATTTCAGATACTATATATTTTTATCTCTAGCCAAAGGTCTGGACCTTTATGTATTTCCCATTTCCATCCTTCTCATGGTTATACTTTCCTCTAAATTCTTGAACATACGAAGCATAGTTACAATAACTATTTTAATGCCCTCAGATGCTAAGTCATGTTTGTCATTTCTGTGTCTGTATCATTTGATTGATTTTTATCCTGGTAATTGTCCTTACTTTCCTGCTTCTTTGATGATGGATACATTTTTACTGGATGCCAGACAACTGTGAATTTGCATCGTTGGTTGTTGGGTTTTGTTTTATTCCTTTAACTAGTATTGGCTTTTACTTCTGGCATCCCATTTCTTAAGAGTTTGTTGGATCACTTTGAGGCTTACTTTTTCCCCTAAGAACATTTTTATTTATATGTGGCTTACTTTTAAGCCTTTTTTTTTTTTTTTTTTTAAGACAGATTCCAAACCTCCTTTTTTTTTTTTTTAAATACATTTTATTAATTTTTTTTTACAGAGAGGAAGAGAGAGGGATAGAAAGTTAGAAACATCGATGAGAGAGAATCATCGATTAGCTGCCTCTTGCACACCCCTTACCGGGGATGTGCCCGCAACCAAGGCACATGCCCTTGACCAGAATCGAACCTGGGACCTTCCAGTCCGCAGGCTGATGCTCTATCCACTGAGCCAAACCAGTTCGGCCAAATCTCCTTTTTTTCTAGAGCTATTTTAACCCTACTACTAAGGTAAACCCTGAGGATTCTGCCTGATCTGTATATTTACACTCTGGCTAGTGGAAACAAGCTTTCCCCAGCCCTGTGTGTGCTCCAGCATTGTACTGCCTACTTCTTTTCAGTGATCTTTCTTAGTCTTGGATAACTCTCATGCTTTGTCAGGACTCAAAGACTCATAGGGTCACTTCTCAAGATCTTTTTTAATATACATTTTTTATTGATTTCAGAGAGGAAAGGAAAGGGAGAGC